AGCTGCTTCTTGGCCGATGCCCTTGGCACCAACTGCCGAGCTTGAAAGTCGCCCCACTTGAGCACAYAACAAGTTCTCTCTTCAAGGACTTGCGTGGTCTACACAGAGGTGAGCGAGGAGACAGTTCTTAAGTGAAAGAGGCTCCGTCACACAGTTCCCAGTGTAAGAGCTGGCGTTAGCTTCTRAGCTACCTCGGAGCTCAGGTGTAAGGACAGAGGTGAGGAGGTGGTTCCACGTTGGAGAGCACGGGCGTGCAACGGAGCTTCAAGCTGGTGTCAGAGCCCCAGTCTGAAAACTGCTGTTACAGATTAGCTGGCTCCTCTACTCACAATATTGGCTCTTGATCACATCTTTACCTTCACCAGAGGAAAAACTCACCTTCAAGGTTTCATTTCTGACTTACACACTGCTCAGCCTAATGGTTCCAATAGCCTCTGCTCTGTAAGCAGCTGCATCCGTGAGATTTTCTTCCAGCCTTCCCCATTAGAAAGGGGACAGGCTTGCAGCTCTGGAAGGGAGTATTTCTGGGTCACATCCTTATCCAAGATTTTCAGGCACTTCAGACAGTGACAGCGCTGGTCTCTGGTTTCTAATGATACTCATGCTCCTCCTAACACAGGACCTCCAAGTCCTTTATTAGACAAGAAGACTGCAAATACAGGTAAAGGCTCCGGTCTCTGATGTRCTGCCCTTGATATTTTACTGGGCATTTCAGGTTCACTTCTGATTTCTAGTTTCTTGGAGAAATAAAGCAAATCCCCACAGGTCCTTGTCCCAGGGGACTCCTTGGCCACACACTGTTGCCTCTTCTAGCACATGACTTGTCTGAAAAAGGGCTTCTAATCCACATTTGCCTAGTTTTGCCTGCTCAGTACCTCTATCTGCAGGAGAGACCCCTCACTCCCTTTAAATTTCCAAGGGCAATATAGGGATCAACCTGCACCACCAGGAATCAGGGACAATTAAGCTGCAACTCCCTGGTCAGCTCCCACTGAACGGATGATTTTTTCCTTGACCACAGTCACCACAGAATGAGAGCTGCTCCATACGCAAGATGATTCTGCCTCAACTATCCTTTATTCAGTGCTGGAACTTTTTACAGAAAAAATGAGGAATCAAAACAAACATTATACACTTCTCCTAATTCCTCTCAGCTTATAGCAGGAGATCCTTAATGATCCGGGGTGCATTTTGGCAGCCAGGAGCTTTCCTGGAGCACAGAGCAGCCAAACAGCCCCGTGCCACGCAGCACAGCTGCGATGCCACCGCTTCGTGCACAGGTAAACACGAGGCAGCTCTTCAACAGGGAATGSAGGGGGCTACTAACAGCATCTCCCTGTCCCCCCGGGCAATAAGCATGGATCTGAGCACAGCAGAATASAAGTTCTCTCTAAAAACTTCATTTTGCCTTCAATGGAAAAAGATTACAATACAAAGTCACGAGGGTCCTTCCGATACGGAGCCAGGAAGGTAATCGGGATTATTTCTGTTGATGCCAGTTCGGCACTAGGGAACGTGAGGATGACGATGATAGACATTCTCATAGTAGTTGGTGAAGAATCCCCACAAGTATTAGAGTACTGAGACCACAAATCACCCAATACAGATTTCACTCAAYCTACAAACAAACCTACAAGGCATGCATCGCCTTTTCTCATCTAATAGTATTTATAATCTCTTCCCCCCCCCCAAAGGGTTAATTTAGCTTTTCTCCCCTCTTCTTATACAGAAGCAAAAAACCTGAGTGCCTGTTTAATGACGCACTTGGATGTTCTCAGCCATGGGATGCATCACTGAGTAACCTTGCTCTTGAATCAATTAAACCAAACAGTTGGGTTTTGGAGCAGGTATTTTTAAACTTAGTGGTATTAAATATTAAGTTCCTCTCATTAAATTATTAGGCATAGTTTAAATATTGATAGATTAACTTCAGCCTTCATTGTCTGCTTGTCGAAGGCACTGTGAAGCCAATAAAGATGTAACRAACAGATCTCTGACCCACAGGCCAGTACAAACATTGACCCAATTGTTTTAAAACTCAGATTCAAAAGGGACACAAAGAACTCCCAAATAACACAGCCAAAGCCCCAGCAGCTGSAAAAAGGCCACATCATCCTTCCCTTGGGCGAGGGCAATGGGAGCGTTTGCAGTTTACAAACGTGCTGGAGCAGAGCCTAATCCTGCAGGGACCCCCGTCCCGGAGGCTCCGCTGGGACACAGATGCGGAGCCRGCCCCTTGGTCATGAGGTGCTCCTTGCCTTTATCCAGGCAGCCCAGGGATGGTGGGATCCTTTGGAAAGAGCCTGCTGTGGTGCAGCAGCCCCTCGCCCCACGCAGGGAGCACAGGCCACAAACGCCCTTCGCGACGTTGCCCTCCCTGAGCGAGGAAATACCACCTTAGAGGGGTTCCTCGGCACGGATTTCCTTTGGACAAGCAGGATCGCCGTCTGTTTACGGAGGCGTTTCTCTGGAAGACGGCTGGGAAGCCGCTGAGCGCGCCCGGGACCGGCTCCCCGTGCGGCTGCAGGACACGCGTGGTTGGAGCTGCCCGCTCCGCACGGGAGCGAGGACCCGGGGCGCAGCCTCGCTACCTGCGGCGCCGGCCGCGTCAGGGCCCTTGCCCGGCTTCCCGCTTCTGAAAACAAGTCAACCAGTACGCGCCAGGGAGATGGAGAGGCAGGCACATCGTACTGCCCCCTTGCATCTCCRAAACCTTGAATACCTCCACCTTGTAAAAGCAGTTGTTTCATTCACTGTGAGGGTGACAGCGCCCTGGACCAGGCTGCCCAGGGAGGCTGTGGAGTCTCCTTCTCTGGAGACCTTCCCAACCCACCTGGATGCCGCCYTGTGCTCTGGGTGTCCCTGCTGGAGCAGGGGGTTGGACTAGATGATCTCTAGAGGTCCCTTCCAACCTCARCCCCCCTGAGATTCCTTTCACTCCTCTTCGGCAGCACCAGAGCTGAGCCCACGGCCACCGGCCTTGCCCATTAGGCTGAACAGCAGAGCCTCCAGCTGAAGGATACAGGAACCAGCAGGCAGAGAGCGGCCACCAACACACATCTCCCCTCCTAATTTGCCCGTGCGGACATTGATGTATTTACGGGCAGAAATCCCATTCCCTTTCGGGCTTTGTTTTGCTAGGCTAAGCGCACGGAGCACTTCCCACCCCTTCTCGTCTCCCAGGAAATGCTTCTGGTACTGCTCATTAYTCCCACAGAGCCGCTCTTCACCTGGATGAGTTTCCATTTATCTTTCCTGAACACTGATGACTCCAATGAGAACAAATGAAAGCAATGGCAATCTAGTGAAAAAACAGCAGAGATGGAGATGTTTTATCCAACTCATTAAAATACTACAGTGCAATGAATAYTGTCTGGTTTTGCTACAGCTAAGAAACGTTACTGAAACAGTAAGATATGTAACAGATGCTAGTGGGTCAYATTAATTAATTTTTCATTTTTAAACCCGTATAGAGAATCATTCAAGTAGTAACATGAAATCAGCCAGCTCTCCACATACAGATAAAGCAAATATGCCATAGCYTCCATCAACAGGAGAATTTCATAATAAAAAAAATACATTTAAAAAAAGTCAGGGARCTCTCCTGCCATCTGTTTAAAACAAAGGCTTTAAATTTCCTTGATATTATCACAATACTCCACATATAACTTAATTCAGGAGGATTGCCTTTACAGATGACAGCAAAATATACTTAAATATGCAAAACTAAAGTCAAATGGCAGAATATCAAATTGTTCTTTTTAAATTGTAAGATCTGGGTTTAAGTGAACCTGCTTTCAATGCAAATGTGACCACATTACAAYAGGCAGTGGAGGCAAACATCGCATGAATAAAGCGTCAAGGAGAAAGGATACACGATGGGAAGAACCTGCAGATAATTTCATGCTGCTCCACTCCTCGCTCCCCTGATGGAGTCACGGAAGGAGAAGCACGGCCAAGCCCTTTCCAAGCCCTTTCCAACACAGCCCTTGCCAGTGTCCAAAAGCCATCGTGCCAGACCTGGCCACAGGGCAGGACGTGTCTGAGCCAGCCCAAGTGCGGTTAAACCATCAAGTCACACTGAAAGACATGAGCGAGGKGCACGGATCCCTTCTGATACCTGCTTAGCACTGAGCAAGCCTTCAGCAGCTAACTTGGTTTGTCTTGCCCGTAAGTTGTCCAAGCAGACTGGCAAACACAYCGCGAGACACCAACCACCACTTGTTCTCTTCTTCCCATCCATTCCATTCRCTTTTCCACATCCATATGGGAAGATCATGCAAGAAAACATGCCTGACTAGCAGTGCTTGCAGGCAGCCTTCTCCAAAGAACCGCTACATTACAGAGTTCATTCTGTTCGTGCTTAGAAAATAAGAGGCCCACAATACAACAAAGGCAAGTGGCTTCAAAAATAACCAGCTAAAGAGGAAAACTATTGCAACGAGGCTGCATTGTCCTGATACTTCTTTAAGTAGCTCCCCTGCCATCAAAGGATCACTGTTTACACAAAGAGAAGGAAATGAAGAGTTTCCTATATATATTTTTAATATGTCAGTAACTTCACAATAAACATGAATCCAAACATTCTCTGCAACAGCACAAAGTGGCATTTCCTTCCTGTTCCTTGAACTACCAGCACCCCAATAGAAATGTTTTGGTTGCTTTACACAACCCCTAGGATGGGGCTTGGAAACCAGCTTTACTTAGCTGTTCTGAATTATTAACGAGACAAATATCTTCTTTTGTTGCCCTTTGCAGAAGCTTGATTTGCAAGTTTAAAAATCAAACTGACACTTAGGTCTGTTGCACAAATACCCAACATTTTTTTAAATACTCTGGGCTTTATAAATACATTTTTTCATGAATATGGAAACAACAATTCTATAAATAGCTATTCTTCACAGAACTGCTTCAAGACATTGYTTTTACAGACAACAGTAGGAAACCAAAGGAGGTCTTGGTGCCAAACAGATGACAAGTGAAAGAACTCCCCAATCAACTCTGTTTTTCCATTTATTATTCAATAGTTCTCCACTATTTTTCAGCTTATTCAATCAGTTCAGGCATAGGGAGAAATACAACAGTGCATCATGTTCTGGTTTAGCTCTTTGGTTGGTGTAAATCAGTGATATGCTTCAATTTCTAATGGGATTTGAAGCTTTGCTTCTTTGAGCAGTCACTTAACAACTCTAGGCTGTCAACAGCCTCTTGAACACTCTATTAAGCAGCACCACCTTGTACAAGAAGAACCAAAATAAACCAGAATTTTTGCTGTTACTCCACAATAAGATTTCCAAATACACAAAATCAAAACTGACTAGTGACTGAAAACTAGTGTGATAGCAGACAGCCCAAAGAGTCTCCATGGTCAACGGGTGCTGCCTCCTCAGGCATTTTTTGCATTGTTTTCTGAATACAAAAATCAGTAGGAACTTATGAAAATGAGTTGTAGAACTGGTAAAATGAGCTCTATAGCCAGGACACTACAATTATGTATTCAGTCATTTTGGTATATGTTTCAACATAACAYTTAAGTTAGAACACTACCAAGTCCCGATAGTCTTCGGCAGGAAGGAGCACTTGTTTCATGAGAAATATTGGAAATTCATCTACAAGAGAAGGGGGGGGAAAGGGGGGGAACATTTAGTCCCTAGTTTTGAAATGCAGTATTTCAGTCTCACAGGAAACATTAGCAAATGTATTGACATGGAACAGACCGCATCCCATTGCTCTGGACACTGCTCTTTCTCCACCCTAGGGAAACTCCACAGTGCCCAAGAGCTGCAAACACAACAGCACTGGAGTCAAGGGGTAACACTGATGGGAGATTGGAGCAATTCAGTGATAAATCAGGCCGGGAGCTTTCCCAATAGCTCCTGAGCCATAGGAGTGATCTAAGCAYACAGGAATGTTTTTAAAAGAAAGTCAGTGTCCAACAAGGATTAGTAAGAGTTTAGGGGAAACTCCAGACTTGCTTCCCTTCTCTCCACGTTCTGTGCATCATGGATAAGCACGGACCTATTGGAGTTGGTCCCTAGGAGCAGAACAACTTAGTCGGATGCAATGATTTTGTCTGCAAAGCTAGAATTAACCAAGCCAAGCCTCCTCACTACCGCCCATCACAGCAACCAAAACAGAACCATTCACAACAGGAACCTCTTCTCTTACCTTATTTTGATCTGTCCAGTAGAAGAAAAATCCCTGTGGATCTGTCCGGAGAATGATTGGAGTCACAACAGTGGAGTCCTGGCAAAAGAAGGAAAATAAGAACATGTCAGCACACACAACAGGTAATTAGGTACTTGTTATCATGCCACTCATGTTAATGTGTCTTAAGATGACCCTTAAGATATTGCTAGCAATATGTCACTAAAATWATTTAGTACCACAGGCCTGATCTCCCTTTTCCCGACATAACACATTTCCATTAGTGAGATGACAGCACTGAACTCCAGGCTTGTCGACACATGGAGTTATTCCAGAGAAGCTGTAAGTAGCTGAAGTTAAACAGATGCAAGACACTGTCAAGCTAGAGTCCACATAGGAAAGTAGTACAAATAGTTATTAGAAGTCCACGGCCACCTTAATCCAAATTAGCCCTCAGATACAGACAAGAGCATGTATAACCTCTAATTATGATATAAAGGCTGTATTTGCCAAGAAAGCCTGCGAAACTATCCAGTACAAGGCAATAAGACTATTGTAATAAGTCAATTACACTAAAAATCGTCTCTCTTTTTCTATTGCACAAGTATGAAGATCAATGGTGTCTGAGCGTGCGAGTGCTTGAATGCCTATAAGTACTKGTATGGATACATATGCACACACATACATTTATATGAAAACACGTGCACACACACAAACCRCAAAAAATGAGTTAAAAGCCTTCACTCTTCTATAACATCGATAGCTCAGCTCTCCAGAAACCAAGTGCATTTGTCAGAACTAGAGCTAAGGAGACCTTTCCCTGGCCTGGTTTCCTACACACTCCCGCCTGCACACTCACAACTTGCCCGTGACTCAAGAGATACAAGTTCCAACTGCAGCTTTTCCCACCCGTGGGAGTTCATTGCATCCCTCACCCACCAGCACTTCCCAGGACCTGACAAAAACTGGAATCAGGGCAGCCTGGCCCTACTGAGACCCCTGTTCTTTCCTCTACCAKTTCCCATGACATCTGTAAAACTGCTGCCATCTTCAGACCTCTGCCTTTTGGCTGGGGCTGGATTAAGCCGTTGCAGAGAAAGTCCCGAAAGGAAGATGAGGACAGACAGGCAGAAACATTGCTTAGGCCTGATCTCCTCAGGAAGCCAGGCGAAACACACCGCTCCCTCTCAGAGGGGACGCGTATTTCTGTGAAAGCGTTGCAGGTATTTCAGTGTGCCAGAACTCATCTGTTTTCAAAGCAACGTACGCAAGATTGGTTTACATTTATTTGAAGAAAAATGGCTCTAATTGATCCCAATTGAAGTCAAAAGGCATTGCAGTTTTTCTAATTGCAAATTAAGTTATTGGAGGTGATATTATCATAAATGAATAAAAACTAACTTAATCAGAAAGATAAGACTGCCTATGCTGTACTGCCAGTACAGCCCTTCATGATGGAGCACCAGGCCCCCAGTAAAGAACATTTGTGAGACAGTGAGGTTGAAATATTCCCAGGCTAGAGCTGCAGAAATGAGATACAACAAMGCTAAGTAATTGCTCCAGTACAAGTCAGGAGTTTATGGCAGAGCAAGCAAAAATAAATAAATAAATTAAAACTAAGCTTTAGGTATGTTCTCATCTCACCACAAGCAGAAATACAAGTAGAAGAGCAGACTGTGGCACTAAAGAGAAACACAAGACCAAGTAAGAGAGCATGCAGCTCCTCACAGCTGCCTGTGCGTTAGCTGAGCCCCAGGGGCCGGAACAGCAGCTCCAGGAGACTGACCGAGCGCGGGGCCTTCGGTGCCAGCGGGTGCTCTGGGAACGTCCCCGCTGGCACCAGGGCCTGGCCACTGCTCCGCAAGGTGCCACGGACCCTTCTTTCCCCTTCGCAACAAAGCAGTCCTGTAAGCACTGCCCTTAACAGAACTAACCACCACGTTTTGCTTTTTTATTTTATTTTTCCATGGTTTCTAGTATTGTGTACACCTGACAGATGGGTGCTGTTCAAGCGCAAGGAGAAAATTTGTTTTATAGGAAGCGCCAACACTTGACCAGGTGTTGGACAGCTGTCCGTATCCATGAGCAAATAGAAAAGTGATAAATCTCTGCCATTCAAAAAAAGGAAAGATAACTGCTATGATGACATGAAATCTCCGTAAAATGAGAGCAAGAAAAAAATACATGTTTATATGCATATCTATATATACATAAAATTAAAAGTCCTTCCATCTTAGTATGAGACAACTTTTGGCAGGGGAGACAGGGTGGGAGGGAGGAAGTARTGGGAAACAGACATGAAGAAGTTATGTCTAAAATAATTTAGTGTTGCTGGTTAATCTTCCAAATCAGCTGTTTAAACTCCAAAACTGTTTGGATTTGTCTGTGCTCATGACACAGCTGTCGAAATAAGACTTATCTGGATGTAGKCTGTAAGATGTTGACTTTAACCAGATTCAAAAATGAGGAGGGTGGAGGAGAAAGTCTTCAGTACCTATCAGACACCATAAAGGAATCCTTATCATGACAAGGAGCAACAATTCTTTGTGCTATAAGAGGACTTCTGTGCAAAGAAAAAAAATCCTGTACTTTATTTCCCTCCTTTTAAGTCCCATGCAACCACCACTTTGAAGCAGTGTTGTATTTCCATGCCTGTTTTCCAATCTGAATACACTGATCCAGTATTAAATATAAYGCAGCTCTGTGCTGGTGGACACTACATCCCTCCTCGGTTACGTAGTCCACACAACAGGAGAATTATTTTTGGTGAGACTTCCCGTACACATCTTGGGAATCTTCCACCCAGCTATCAGCAGCAATAAGAGACACACAGATAATGTTTTAATATTAAACAAGTCATATTTAACTTTCAGAAGTCCCTCCCACTAAAAGCTAGGATCCTTATCTTGGGCTTTAGAAGGGAAATAAACTTCCCGGTGACATTTTCAGGCCCCCTTCCCAGGCTGCGGGAAGGGGCAGCGCTCTRACGCAGGCAGTTTGGCTGCTTGTGCATCGCGGTGCAAGCACGAATTGCAGAGACAGGCAACAAGCACCAAGAGGCACGATGCATCCAAAACTCTTCTTAGGAGCTACATCCAAGAAAGCGATTCAAGCTCTGAATCGGAAACTTGTTTCAAATGATAAATGCCTGGCTCATATTTACAGAAATTGTTGTACCATGCAGAAAATGGTTTTACTACCCAGAACACACGCTCCTGTCAGTTTGGATTGAATTAATTCAATTTTGTCAGCCAAAGAGCTGGCCATCTCATCACTCCCCTGAACGGAGCTGGCAACTGTACACACCTTGGAAGATGACTGTAATAGGGCTCGAGTGATTAGTGCTGCCTCTCAGCTCCTTGAGCCCTGTACTTGAACAAAGTCGCACATAGCTTTGTAAAGGAGAAAGAAACCCAAAACTCGATGGCAAAACAAAGGCAAGCACAGATTCACTTCTCCCCTAACGCACTCAAATGCAGTATGTGAAAATAAAAAAATAAAGAGAAGAAATCTCAACTCAGTGTATTCTAACCAGAGACTTGCAGGACAGACTTGGAAGTAGCTCAGCTGCTACCAAAACGCTTAGCTGAACTAGCAAGATTTTATTTTCAAGACTCAAATCTGAGCTGGGTGGGCGCTGTGCATCTCCTAAATTGACAGATTTACAGAAAATCACCCCAACTTTAGGTGTCTTATGGGGGCTTAGCTCTTACAACCATCTGGCTACCAGCAAACCAGCCAAGCAAGCCTTCGGGTAGCAGCACCCCTGGATGTCCACAGCATTTCCAAGAACAGGCAATGTGAGGAGTGGAGGATCATCTCCAGTGGAGGAAGAGGTCAAGGCAAAGGTTAGGTGTGATCAGAAAGGGAAGAGGAAGCACAGAGTTAAGTCAATCACATGGGAGCAATGCAGATGTCTGCAAGCTGCAAGTTTTCCAAGTGCCACCCATGGGAGCTTCTGCTAGGCAGCAGCTTGACTTGTAGTAAATTGTAATCTCCMAGTCCTCTAACGAGAAGATTTATAGAGGGGTCTTACCTGGCAGTGCCAGTGGATTGCATAGAACACCKGCCTGAATTTAAATGAATATTTTTTTGAAGGGCTTTTAATTTAACCTCAAAAGACCCCTCCTCTCCTTTTATTTACTGACACAGGGCCAGTTTTCCACTTATCTCCAGTTTCACGGCCCCAAACGAGTAATGTGGTTGTTCTGCATTTATCCCATTAAGTTGCTTCCTAATTGCTCCATAACCTCAGCTCCTACATTGTAAAACAAAGAATATTGATACTTTTAAACAAAGAGGTTTTTCAAATTCAYGCCCACAAAGCACCACTGAAGACTTCAGGAGAATAGATACCTTCAAAGCACAGCAGGACACGGGCATAAAAGACCCGAGGACAAATCCATGGAAGTGCCTGCCAGGTAACCATTCCAAGGCTTCATTTTATGTATGGATCCCCTAGGCCCACTCCCAGCATCAACTGGCAAGAAGTGACACCTTCATTTTAACACTGCTGATCAATAAGGACCATCTCAAAAAGCCAAACACCAAAGTCTGTGGAACCTGTTGTTCTCTCCCCCTGCTCCCGGCAGCGGTGCCTCACTCGTGCTCAGCCCAGCTCATCTCACTAAAGCACAGCCCAGGAAAGTCCTTCCATCACCAGCAGAGCCACGACGCAAACACCGGCTCAACGCTGCCCAACTGGGGAGCTCGTCACGATCCACAGCTATCTATCTATACGTACCCCACTGAGAGCAAGATGACTCAGATGAGCATATTTTAAATAAGCCATCGAGACCCCAATGATTCTCTTAAAAATAGTTAAGCCAATTTGCCAATCAGCAGGATGAAATAACTGCACCTCCCTTCCACCCTGATTCCCCCAGGATTTGGGGAAATAGGCTGGGAAAGCCAAGCAGGGAAACTTGGAGCAAAATGACTGCCTGAACCACACAAGTGATCCCTCAGCTCAAGCTGCACAAATCCTTACACAGGGAAAGCACAGCGGCGGCCACGACTTTCCTGACGATGCTACGGGACACAGGTGGACACCAGAGGACCCAGGAAAGTGGCAGGTCTCC